AGTGAGGGGGCAGGGAGAAAGAGCTGATGCTGGAAATCTCCAGGAAGGAAACTAAATCCTTAAATGCTCTGTTTGCAGAGATTCCAAGTAAAATGGGAAGAAGCCAGTCCAAGGACATCTACCTCCACAAGTGGCTGTGACACTCTTGAACCTGAGGGAAAGCTGCAGACCCACTGGTACCAAGCACACCTCAGACTGTGAGTGGTACTGCACATAGCCAGGCCCCAATAAGCTCCTTTCAGGCTGTATGTACTAAAAGTTCATTTCTGCTCATGCCCTGACTTCATTAACCGACATCCCTTGTTTGCTTCTTGACCTTCTGGCACTGCAGCAAGAAGCCAGATGGGACAGCCAGAAACAGAGCACGCAGCAGTGTCTCTGTGTGTGGCATTAGCAGAGTGTTGTGTCCTACCAGCACCTTCCAAAGCCAGGCCAGAGTGCTCAGCAGGACCTGGGGGATAAAGCCCTTTGCCAAATCAGTGTAGCTGGGAACAGGGCTCTGAATTACTGCCCATTCCCTGAGGCTACATGCAGTGTGCAGGCAGCACTCCTGCAGCATCTGACACTCGTGCCAGATTCAGCGAACCCGGAGTAACCAGACACACCAAGCAGAAAAGTTGTTTGAAGCCTCCTCAAGGAAAAAGTGCAAAGGAAGCACAGCTTGTGGAAGATGGAGCTGAGCTACTCATTTGGTCAAAGTCCACTTACAGTCCCCAGCTGGTTTTTGGTGGTTGCAGAAAGCAGACCCTCTGTTAAGACTCAAATCAAGTCCTTGGCTGACTTTACAGGAAGTGCAAGCTAGCACCTCACACAACACAGAACACCTCTGATGTCCAGGGTAAGTCTCATGAAGCTTTTCTATTCAAGTATGTTTTAGAAGTCAAAGCACTAGAGACTTCACAGACCCAGACCTTCCATCACCCCTCAAATTTACATCCTTTACTGCTTAGGAACAAACATACTGTCTACTTTCAATGTACATGAAGCATCAATAAAACCAGGTGCTTACTTTCTTTGGCATTTAGAACAGTCAAACTGATATGGATCATTACAGACAGCAAGCACTGAAAGCATGGAGGACTCACACAGCAAAACTACATCAAGGCATTGGGGGTCTTTGGACATGAAGCTGATGTGGAAAAACAGAACGTGCAGTGAAAAGAGGATGAAATCCCAGTGTCCATGTTTAATATGAACTTTGGGGTGAAGAGGCAATGGTCTCACTCAGTGTGACCCTGGTGTGACAACCCACAAAACTAGGAGGAATGCTGTGTCTCCAAGGTTGCTCCCTTTCACCCTGTCCCTGGTAAGAGCCCCATCTTGCTGTACACCACATTACTGCTCAGGCCATGGACCATGCACAGCAGCATTGCCATGCCTAGCCCACACCACGGCCAAGTCCAGACCTGGACTAGAGCCAATTCAGAAGAAGAATGAAGGTGAGGAAACACAGACTTACGTAGAACCGCAATGAAACTGGTTTTGTCGGCCAGAATCCATATCCCAAAGCCCAGGATCACAGCACCCAGGATCTGAAAGAGCAGGAACAAAACATACATAGCAGATTTATGAGCTAAGACAAACAAGAGGAGGCAGGCACCATTATCCATACTTCCAGAACATAAACAGTCCCTCCTTTGCTGTTTCCACCCATCTCCCCCATGGTACTCCTCCCAGAGCAAACAGGATTAGCACGACTCTAGGAAGAATTCCTCAGCCAGCTGCACAGGAGCCCCAAGTTCTCCTTGGCAGTCCTTCACACAGTGTTTTAATAGGACATGATATTGTATAGGAGGATCCTTCAAAACAGTCTGAGGAAGAGACGTCCTGCTGCTAGAACATTGTTGTCAGAAGCAAAAGGTAAGTGCATTTCTTCTGTGAAGAACTGAGGAAGGACAAAGGCATATGATGTTAGAGGGTTTTTTTAACTCCAGAAACCCGTGACTCTATGGGCCCAGCCTGGGAGCCAGTTGGCAAAGGATTAGGCATCTGGCAGCAGGAAGCCTTCCAGGAGGCATATCTTTGGTCTGTCAGGCTCTGCTATAATGTTATGGCCTCAACCCACATATACAAACCCAGCAGCATTCACTGCATGCAGGTTCCCTTGCCAAGCTGGGGCATTTTGGCTCGGCCCCTACTTTATGCCAGAACACCTCCTCTGCTCAAGCCAACACATCTTAGCCCCCACAGAGCCAAGAGTTACTGAAACATCAGCCATGGCCTCTGCTTTGCTCACCAGTCTTATCTAGGGCAAAGATTAGTGGAGCAAAACACCCCTGTGAGGACTCAGCTGAATCCAGGTATGGAACTGAGAAGATAGGTGACGCACAGTTTTCCCATCACGCCTTGAAGGGGGGGGAAGCATGATCTGTTTTAGCTTGCAGGTATCACCACATTTTATACCACACTGTGAGGTGTTTCTGTGTAGATGACCCTGACTTCTCAATTAGGCTAAGAGCACTGTTCTACCCACAATAACTTAACCGTGCTGAGGAGCCTCGAGGTCTGCACGTTTGATAGGAAGCTAAAACTTGTGCTGTTCAGCCAACTAGGGGTGGCAAAGACTGGAAACCACTTATGCAAAGATCTAAAATAGACTTTGAAGAAACAAGGGAAGGACAAGAATTGCAAGTGAGATGCTTCCAAAGGACATGAACTGCATTACATCAGTCTGACTTCAAGACAGGATAAAGTGAAATAAACCAACAGGGCTGAGGAGAGATTGCAAATTCATTAGAGAACGTTCTGATACTTGGGAGGCAAAGAAAATGCCAAACCACCACCTGAAGCAAGCAGGCAGAGTGGGCTCTATAGACAGGCACTGGCTCCACATTTTGAAAGTTTACACTATGCTTCAGCTCCTCGTACAAAGAAGCTTTTCTGAGCAAAGATAAAGCAACAGTCTGAACTAAGCTGCTTGCAAGCTTTCCTGGCTTGGCAAAGGGCACAACACACTGTTAGCTCTGGGGACAGGATTAGAAAGTCACCAAGCAAGTTCCCACCTATGAAGATGGGTGAAGAAGCCTGACTCAGCTTCAGAAAGCAGTAGCTGTCGTATCCCAGACAAAAAGAATTCCCCCTTGCCTCGTGTCCCAACATGCTGCACCCACAACGCTCAATCTGCTGATCAGGCCAGAAAGACTCCTTGAACATGCAACAGCTGTGACACCTAAAAATTCCTCTCAAATTTGGTAGTACTACGAACGGCCAAACTGACAGTTTGAGGCAGCCTCACACTGAAACTCTAATCCTAATAAATATTTGTCTTAACAAAGACGTGAACCGGGCTGTGTGTGACATCTTTTGGTTTAATGACCCTGAAATGTCACCTACATTTTGCTGCTGCTGACAAAACACAGCCAGCTCCTGAGCAGAGTTCCAGGGAAGTTATTTGTGATGAGGTGCTCAGACTACCCCAGGCCTGTTTGCACTCTGATCTTTGCTCTAGTCCACAGCTTGTGTTTGCCAGGAGCTGCTGTGGAAAACGCTACAAGGGGAAGGCAGGGAGTCAACAGCCACAGGACGAAAATACTGTCCTGTTAACAAGAGTATATTTATCTCCTAGCAGGACAGTATCTCTGCTCGGCATCTTCAGGAGGTTGCACTGCATAATGAGGCTGCTTCTGTCACTGGCTTGGCTTCAGACCCTCCAGAGGAGAAATCACAACTGCTTTCCATGGAGTTTAACTCCTTTGCTCCACTGCTGTAACATCCCGAAGTGGGGAACACCTCTCCTCCCTGAGGGGTGGAGGTTCCACACTCAAACCAGAAGGATGCAGCTCTCTCAAGGCATTGAAAGGCTTGGAAGAACTAAGATGTGACGGAACTGAACCACCTTTCTGGGAAGAGCAGCTTGGAGTTCCCAGCTGTCCTCCCCCAGCACTGCTTTCCACCACACTCAGACTGCATGAACACTGAGCCTGGTAGAGGAGCCAACAGAAAGGCTCTTAAACTCCAGGCTTCGCTTTAGGTAGTAGCCTTCTGCTGCACTTAGAGAAGGATTAGAAGTAGCACAGGCAGCTGTATGTTTGAAACAGTTTCCAGAGACTGTTGAACTTGTCTCACAGAGCTGTTCTCCCTTTAAGGAAAAGCACATACATGTCTGCTAGTCATGAAGGTAGAGATGGGTTAAGTTTTGACTGGAGAAACTAATATTATACTCCAAATTTATGGTTTTGGTACCTTTTCTAGAAAGCAGGCAAGCAGTCCAAGTAACCGTCTTCCCTTTTATCAAAGCAAGTCAAACCCTTCCCTAAGATGAGGCTCTAAGACTGTGAAATACCACTAAGTACTTCAGCTACAGCAAGTGACCTTCTCACAGACCTCGAGCTGTCGAGAAATGCTAGTTTATAGAGAAATGCTCTAAAAGAGTCACCAGCATGGAGCTGTCCAGAAATGCTAGTTTATACAGAAATGCTCTAAAAGAGTCACCAGCATGTCTCTTAAAGACTCCAGTCGTCGCCTCCAAGCAAGGCTGGAGAACATGCTTCAGAAAGCAAGGACAGGCCTGCACAGGGTGCAGTCACAGAGGCTCAGCCCAAGGCCCAGAGCAGACACAGGGCTCCACCACCAGCACTACATCCACATTTGGTGGAGCACTCTCCTCAGCCAAACCCAGCATGAGGTATGCCAAACCTGTCTTTGCTGAGAGCTCACAGCAACTCAACACAAGCAGTTTCTCTGCTAGATTAGCATTGCTGCACTATATATACATAGTATAAACTCAGGAATCACCATACTCTCCTCCCCAATTCAGACCTTGAACAACCATAACAGAAACACCTCTCATGTCAACTACTTCCTATGACAGCAGGAGGGTAATGATGCCACCTTCCTCAGCATCTGCCATCACTGAAGACAGAAGCATGTTCAAAATCTTCACTCCAGAAAAGTATCAAGCTTCCTGTCAGAGCACAGTGGCTTTGGAGACCTCCATTTGTCGGGGAAGACGGTGCCTGTGCTGCATGGCAGGCTGAAACAGCTCATGTAAAGCAGCTTCTCCCTTCAGGCAGCACAGACCTGCTCACATCCTGCCTTAAAACTCTCACTCTCCAGGCCCAGCTCAGTGCATCAGATCAGCTTTCACAAGAGAGAGGGGTGCTGGGTGCTGTCCCGGAGGGGCTGGTTTGGAGCAGGTTGTGCACAAGACAGAACAGCTGCATCTCATCACTTGCCATCCAGGTAGGAGTGCTCAAGCCTCCCCAGGACCCAGCAAGGGATTCAGTGCCTGCCACTCTCCCAGGCTTGTAAAATACAGGAAAGTGCAGTGCAGATGTGGGTCAGCCCAACAGAGTAGTTCAACTCTGCCCCCTGAGAGTGCATGTACCCCTGCAGGCTGCCCACAGTCATGCTTGGCTCAGCAGAGAAGGGGGAAGGCAATGTGGAATACAGACACCACAAGGATCATTAACAGCATCCAGCAAAAATAGTGAGAGTGTTGTAAGGCACTGTAGTATTTCAGGCTGTCATCCTTCCCCTTTCCTCGTGTGAGAATGCTAGGGTGGCTGTCTTGGAGAACTTTCTCTGTACAGAGATTAGCTAAGGAACTTGGACTGAGGTTCAGGCATAAAGGAAAACGAAACAGTGCCCAGGTACTGGGCTCCAATAGACTCAATCACTGCCTTAACAAACACAGCTCTGCTTCCTAGGGCAGACTGGTTGTTATATGCTGCTTAAAATGCATCACCTCTTCATGAGAAGAGAGAGCCTGGATACTAAAATCTTCAGAGGAGTCCTGCACTAATAGGTCAGGCCTGGACTCAGCTGGATTTTTCTTACCTTTAAAGTGGACTAAATCATACTCTGAAAGATCTAGTGGCACTTCAAAAACCTCTCCTCTCCCCTCCCTCCCTTCCAAGAACCTTCCCCAGGGATACTTCAAGCACCCTTGACTTTGGGCCCCGAAACCACAGCTAACTACTCTCAAGAGAGGAAAGAGCAAGCATGATAAGCTGAGAGAAACCAGTGCCAGACGTGCCTCAAGTTCACCCCATGGGCGAGCAGCATCGTGCAGCTATGCAGGAAGGAAGAGCGAAGCTGTGTGCAGGGACAGAGACCAGAAAGCAGTGCTCACCTTATCACACCCCATTTCCCTCCCTGCTCTCCCAGCCTGACCCTTCCTTCTCACGTTGCACAAAGGGTAACAATATCAGACAGGCTATTTTCTTGCTGACATGTGAAAAGCTGAAATTTTGTGCTTCCTTACTACACCACTCCAGCACAGGTAGGCATCACCCACAGTGTCATCATCACCCACAGAACACACCATATTTCAGTCTACCAAAAGGATGTGAAGCTCAGGAATGCACATGGCCCTCCCAGACTGACTCTGTTTCATCTTTTGCAGAGCCTCACACTTGAAGATGACTGCATCCAGTGGGCTGTTTCATTTCTCCAGATGAGCCTGTCCCAGTCTCCCCCACCTCCCAACTCCATTTCAAACAGGGCACTCGGACTAATTCCTCTTGTGAAAAATCAAAACCAGCTGTTGGGACTCAAACAAAATTAGAGTTGCTCTTTGAAGCCTACCTGGCCTATTTAGGAGGGCACTGCCATTACCTGGCAGGTTTTGTAGCTTTGCTGCTCAGAGCTAGCTCAGCTGCTGGTCCAGATGTGCCAGAGAAAGCAGTTACAACTACCCTCCCTGCAGAAAGGACCCACAACACCTGCTTTCCCTCCCTGCTGCAGACAGGGAGCTGTGTGCATTGAAGACTGCAGGCAGGGAGTGGGAGCAGAGCTGCTCAGCATTCCAGAGACACACACAGAGTTCTGACATCCCTCAGCTTCAGGGATACCCTTCCTCCTTCCAAAACTGTGGTCATTTCATTTATTGAACACACTGGGCCAATATCCAGAAAATCAAACACCTTCCAGCTAATTTTGGCCCAGCCCTTCCCTTCTACTCCACAGATGCCCACAATACTTACAAGGAACAGGAGATTGAAGAGGAAGAGGAAGTATTTGGTGACTTTTACGCAGCCAGACCCCATCTTCTTTCACTTATGGGACCTAAGGGGAAAGGAGATAGACAACCAGTTATGTTAGACAGGTCCTCTGGGGAGCTTCAGAGCAACACACCCTGTGCAGAGCTCTGGATCAGTCTCACAGCATATGCACAGACACACGAGTGGCCTTTTCAAGGCAGCAAAACAGGACACCACTAACACTACAAATACAGACACTGCTGCCAAGATGTCCTGGAGGATGACAAAGTACTATCAGCAGTTACCGAAGGGATTTATTCACAAATACACTGCTAATTCCATCACTATTTATATGGACTTTGCAATAGTAGCTTCAACCGAAACACCACTCCTGCTACCACTCCTGGGGGGAAAATGTTTGAGAGCAAAGAGCTGAGAAGCCAGAAAAAAGCCCCACAGACCATCCCCACTGCTGAAGTAAGCTTCCTCCCAGGGAAGCAGCACAGCCAAGTAACACAGGAGGACCACTGGGGGAACATCTCAGAGGTCAAGAGAGTACAAGAGAGACATGGAGCTCCTGGAGTGAGCCCAGTGGAGAGCAATGACAATGATTAAGGCACTTCTCTTAGGAGGATAGGCTGACAAAGTTGATCCTCGGAGTGAGCCCAGTGGAAAGCAATGACAATGATTAAGGCACCTCTCCAGGAGGATAGGCTGACAAAGTTGATCCTGTTTGGCCTCAAGAGGAGGGAACTGAGAGGGGACCTCATCAATGTGCATAAGTATCTGAAGGGAGGGTGTCAAGAGGATGGAGCCATGCTCTTCTTGGTGGTGTCAAGCAATAGGACAAGTGGCAACAGGCAGAAACTGATACACAGGAAGTTCCACCTGAATACAAGTAAAAACTTCTTTACTGTTTGGGTGACCAAGGACTGGAATGGGTTGCCCAGAGAGGTTGTTGAGTCTCCCTCACCAGAGATATTCAGGAACTGCAATCCTGTGCCATGTGCTCTAGGATGACGCTGCTTAAGCGGGGAGCTTGGACCAGGTGACCCACTGTGGTCCCTTCCAACCTGACCCATGCTGTGGTTCTGTCAGCTTTCCTGCTTCTCCTTCCTAACCCAGGCTCAGTTATGTTTTCTGCATAGTCAACAGAGGACTTTTAAGGTCCTTAACATTTCTTCTACCAAGCTCCTCGCTCCAAACAGACAATACTGCTTTAAGAATCAGCAGTGTGGGAAGAGCAATACCAGGCTGGGGTCACCAGTGTGGCCTGAGAAGAGACAGCCCCAACAGAGAGCAAGGTCAGCAGGGTTCCCTGCTGCCAGCCTGGGTGCACTGTGAGTCACTGGAATCCTGTATGTTCTTTTGTTTCAATCAAAGGCTTTTGCTTAATCCTATTAAATATTTAGGTTAACTCTGGAGCTAAACTGGTATGTGGGCCTTGTTGTAACTGACTAGGCCTTCCCACCAAGCAATGGTCACCCTCCAACTGACAGAAGAGAGCACCAGTCTGAACTCTGTGGCTGAAGATAAGGCTACTGCTCTAACTTCAAGGGATGCCATAGCTAGACTATGCTAGAGACTAAGCCCATTGCTGTACAGCACCTAGCATGACACTGTTGAGATGGGAAAGCAGGACAGAAGTACAATCTCAGCCAGCTGTGCTACACATCTACCTCAAAAAACCTCATCTATCTAGCAGTCATTGCACCTAAGGAGCTCTTACTGCACCCCCAGGTTAGCAACATCCTAGTCGGTTTTTATTCAGCTAACTCCTCAGGTCAGAGTCCATGTAGCCAGCAGCACCCAAAAGCAGGTCCTCCAAACAAGCCATGGAATGCTCCTTTAATAGTTTATGGCCCATATGTACACCAAACATCAAACACACAGCACTGCCCTTGCCAGTGCTGCCAGGTGCAGCCATTAGTGATGAGCTGGTTCTGCTTCAGCACAGATACAACAACTGCATCACTATCAACCTAGGCCAAGTGAGTGAAGGCTCTCTGTTAGCAGATTTCCTCCTTACCCCTGCAGCAGGAGCATTCTCTCAGGTCATTAATCCTGGCAGGCATCAACACCTAAGACTGCACTTGGAGAGGATAACCAAGATGTAAATTCCCCATCCAGCTGACTTGCTTAATGGCTTCACCACGAACACATCTCCTCTTAAGAGCATCCCACACTGGAGCCTGGCAGCCTAAGCAGAACACTGAGGCAGCCAGGCCCTTGGGCAATCAATGATCAATGTCTGGGGTGGGGGTTACAGATATTTTTCTATTCTTCAACCTGGCCAAGAACTAAGCTAGACAGTAACCTCCTGCACAATGCACTGGACTTCTTACCTTAAGACACTGGGCTCAGCTGCAACCCTCCTTGTTTTCAAACTGGAGGGCCAAGTCCCAGTATTTCCTGCCTTGTTTCCCAGCACTAAGGACGTGTGTGCTGCCTGTTTCCAACTCTGCCCATACTACGTTGGAAAGCAGTCAGGAAAGCAGAGATTTGCAGAGCTGTTAGGATCTTTATAAAAGTTACCTGAGTAGTCAAACAAGTTGAGAAGAACTGGTGTGGAAGAAGACACGCCTGAGGTACTAAGAGTGAAATACTGCTTTCAGGGCTCTCCCAGCTATTTGTTAAAGGCATTCATACTTCGATGCTTCTTAAAATAAAACAAAACCCAGCTGTGCATTGCAGCATTACGCACCATTCTCTTCTTGCCACAGGGTGATTTATCTCCTTCATAGCTCCAAGCCATGAAGTAATTCAAAGGGCAATTTTCAAGCCAAAAGAGAAACAGGTTTTTAGGGTTTTGCTTTAAGCTTTTAAGATCCTTTAGGGCTCCACATACTGAAACATTACAGATTTTTCCAATTCCTCTGCTGTTGTTTAGAAACTAATGGAACTCCTCAAATCCTACCGCATGGAACTGCACAGTCACAAGACTAGCAATGCTGTCATAGAGCAGAAGTGGCAGCTCAACAAAATTTGAGACAGGTTGGGTTTGGAAGCAGATGAGCTTGGAGTTATCATGGCCAGGCTTATTCAGAGGCTACTCAGCAGCAAAAGGCAGGATTGAGTACCACAGCCAGTGCTGAGGCAGTCAGAGCTGATCGCTACCTTTCAAAGTTGATCAAGTTTTGAGTGTTAATGTTCTCCAGCAGCATGTGCAAAGGTTTAATATATGAAGTTTGCAGCTTTCATATTTCACTGATTGTCCACCATGGTTTGTTTCTTCCTTTTCCTCTCCACCCTGCTTTGACAATTTAAATTTTCCTCCCCAAGCAGTGACACCCAGTCTCTCCAACAATCCTGCTCATATGTGTCCAACTGTTCCCTGGCATTCTCCAGACTGATGCCAGCTCTGCAGAGGATTTCATAAGAGATCATCAGCTTGCAGAATAGCATTTCTCCAAGTCTCTCATCCCCCATCCTGTAAAGATATGCAGGATTATTTATGCAGTGTGCTGCTTTGAGGCACTACTGCCATAATAACTTGGTTGTCAACACAGCCTAGTCAGCTGCTGCATAGCTGATCCTAGGTATTTTTTAGCCTGGCTCCAGCCCCAGAACCTGAAGGGAGAACTAACTCCAGGAAGGCATCAATAGATCAAGAACTCTGGTGTTTTGCACAGGGGAGGTTTGGAACAGGTCTGCACAGGCTGGACTGGCATCAGGGGAAGGCTTCCTGCCCCTCCATCACCTTCAGTTCTCAGCCCTGCCATTCTCCCAGCAACAGCAGTGACAGCAAGGCCTGGATATGGAGCAGGAGGCACAAAATCCAGGATGTGTGTGCCTGAGGAGAGGCAGACAGAGGCCTGCTTTGTTAGCCACGGCAGAGGACTCCCATCACAGCTCAGAGATTAACCTCTTTTTGTCACAAGAGCCTGTGCTACTCCCAGCCCTGCTCCTGTAAGAGGTGACCCCAGAGAAGGACAGGGATATGGTGAGAGCAGAACACCTCTGCCTCCTAGCCCTGCCACTGGCCAGAGAGGCAGGGGGGGGGAAAAACACACACAGACATTATGAGCACATCAGTCAAGGGGCAGAGGCTAAGTTAATTTTTAATTGCAAATCTGCTCTCTCAAATTAGATCCCGTACTGCCTCCACCCAGAAAGTGCTGCATTCTCGGTGCTCACTGGGGTTTATGACAGCTGGCTCAGGCCAGTGCTGTACATGACTGTGCCAGGCAGAGGTAAGGAGGAACAACCACACACAGACATTATGAGCACATCAGTCAAGGGGCAGAGGCTAAGTTAATTTTTAATTGCAAATCTGCTCTCTCAAATTAGATCCCGTACTGCCTCCACCCAGAAAGTGCTGCATTCTCGGTGCTCACTGGGGTTTATGACAGCTGGCTCAGGCCAGTGCTGTACATGACTGTGCCAGGCAGAGGTAAGGGCTCAGCACTGCTCCACAGCACTGTCCTTGCTCTCACCGTGCAGGTTTCTTCTGATGAGCTCTGGCAGCTGAAGCACCTCAGCTGCCAAGTGACTGCACAGCAAATAAGAGCTCATTTATCAGTGCAGCCAAAGAGAAGGAGGAGCAACCTCAAAACAAACCGGAGTAGAACAGCCCTGGAAATCACCGTCTCTGTGCAAGTACAAGCAAGGGCAAAGTTCATGCAAACCTTGTAGGCAGCACACATACTCCCAAGAGCAATGAGCTCTGACCATCAGCCCCAAGACTCCAACTCAGGTAAAGAGGGTTCACATTTCAATGCACTTAACATGGCCTGAAGATGCTGTCCCTTCTCCCCCAGATCCTCTGCCTAAGGAAAGGAAATGATTGGTTACAAAGAAGTTGCAGGTTGTTTCTCAGTGCTCTGGCCAGCTGCTCCCCACTACCACCCCTCAGGCTCTAACACCAGAGCACATAGAGCAAAGACAGACAGTATGGCATGTGCTATCACTAGTTTCTACCAGGCACAACCAGCACCAGAATCGATTTTCAAGTTGCGATGTCCATTACCCCCACAAACACCTCAAATGCCCCATATGACTGGTGAGATGGCTCAGTTCTGCTGTCCCTCCTGCCTGCTGAAGCAGAAACTTCCAACCTGACAGATGTAGAAAAGCCACAGCCAG